TAGGCTACATAACAATGTTGGGAGTCTTGTGAATTGAATCCATGATTATCAATAGCCTTTTTTTTTACTTATTGATAACCTCCATAATATTTTTTGTTACTTTTACCAATTGTATTTACGTTTCAACTAATTTTGTTTTAATAAATGTAAGTTAAGAAGACTAAAAACGTTTGTTTTATCCTAAAAACCAGTATGTTACAGTATATTAATACCCTTAGGATGTTTTTCTTTTCTTTCTACATTTTTGTATGAAGTCATGTCTGTTTCAGCAGCTGTTTACTTTAATAATTTCTCTCTTTAACAACATGTGAATTATCATTTGTAGTCATTTAAAACAATGCTGTATGATAAATAATCAAATATTATGCACAAGATCAAAATCCATAAAATAGCAAATGTTTCAACAGTTATCCAATTCTTTCATTTTAATGCTACACAACAAAAACATTGAAATTACAGCATTGTCAACAAAATGGTATGATTTATCCTTTAATTTATACATAATAAACCTCTTTAACATTGGTGAAGGAACAAAAACTGAGTGACTTGTGTTGTTTTGCACATAGCCACAGTTCTGACTTTCATTTTCAAGCTGTTTCCTCTGTATTTTATTTTCAAGATCTGAGGTAAATTAGCTATCTACAGCTTTCAGTAGCCTAGTATGGAAATTTGGAAATAAATGTCACATAAAATGGCATTCAAACTCACATTAGTGGCATTTAACACTGAATAAAGCACATAATTTGTACCTGAGGTGATGGTAGTTTGTGCTGTTGTTCTGTAACACTGCAGAAATAGAAACCGTCTCCAAAATAGAAAATTTGCGCGTCGTGGTGGCAGATGATAAGTACAAAAACTATTTTAACATGGAAAAGATAGCTTTTATCGACAGTTTTACGACACTATTAACAGGCAATAGCGCTTGTCAACCACAGGGGGGAGCCGCGAGAGAAATATGGTGCCGCTATGCACTTCGTTTCCTTCCTGAGCATCGAGAGGGAAAATGGATCTCACAATAATATTCACTGCTTGAAAGGGGTAAAATATTCAAACTATTCTGGAAAATATGTCAAATGCTGGAAAAGGGGTCAAATATGCAAAAGATGCTGGGGAATCTGCAGGATTATTCTGAAGAGAAGCTGGTTTATCTGTTCAGAACAAAGGACTCATAAACAGCCTCAAAGCATACTCATAGATCACCCAGGTAAATATTAATACCATAATATTTACAGGTAGTACTTAAAAATAACATTAGTATTAAGTATTGCTCTTATTTTATTAAAATGACTCACATTTTCATAGATTCTGCAAGGGGTTTTGTTTGCCACTGTACACCTCTGGTTTTATGCGCATTTCCCACTGAATCCCTACATCTAGAGGGAAAGGTAAAAAAAAACACTGTGGTAGGGGACTGTGTGTATTTGTTTGTAGATGAGAGGAACGTTTGTGTGTGCACATGGTCACTCTGATGTGTGTTCTGCACAAGGTCAGGCTGACCACGACGTCTGTGTTGGGAAAACATGCCCTGTAAGAGTGTGTGTTAGTTTGTATGTTCAGTCCCCTAAATCAGCGGAAAGCAAATTGTGTGTGTGTGTGTGTGTGTTTATCTACTTTCCTGGAGGCTGAGGAAGTCCATGTAATCACCGGGGGGTTTCCAAGTAGGCCACAAAATGGTCTTGACTAAATTAGACATTTAATTACAAATTTAAGCACTGCATAGGCCTGTGTGGTCCTTTTATCAAGTCTATTATAAATAACATGGGGGAGAAAAAAACAAAAACTTTTGCTAGACTACCTAAATTCCCCTTGCATTGATTCAATTCATTTTTATTTCTCTAGTGCTTTTACAATGTAGACCGTGTCAAAGCAGCTTAACATAGACGATTATAGTAAATTGAAACTGTCTCAGTTCAGTTTTCAGAGTTGAAGTTGAGTTTAGCTCAGTTCAGTGTGGTTTAATTTTCACTGCTGAAAGTCCAAACACTGAAGAGCAAATTCATCGATTGACCAATTTTATCCCTTAGACATTTTTATTATTAATTTATTTAATCATTATTTGATTTTTAAAATCACGTGACATGAAGTAACTTAATATCTAACATATTTTTTCTAAATATTAAAAATATATTCTTAATATAAAAACAAGCCAACCGAAATCAGTATACTTTTAAAAAGAGATCAAGGTCATGTAATATAAAAAAAATTAATAAAAAGGCAATATTAAAATTACAGAACATTTGCTGTAGTGTAGTGTAGTGTATAATATTTATTCATTCATTTTCTTTTCGGCTTAGTCCCTTTATTAATGTGGGGTCGCCACAGCTAAATGAACAGCGTAGTATTATTAAAATAGTGTTTGATAGCATACGTTTTTTTAGGGGATGAACTAAAGCTTTAAAATCAAAAGAGAATATACAAATAAAAAACTGTAATTGCTAAAGTAGAATTCAAATTTGCCATTTAAAGCAGTGGTTCTTAATGTGGAGGTCGCTTGTTGATTTCCAAAAATCTAATTCATTGTATTAAACTATTAGAATTATCATTTTTTATCCATAATCTCCTGAAGAACAAACTAGTAGTTAACAGTAACGTTGTTAACAGGGTAATAATAGTGGCAAAAGGTCAAAAGAAAATCGTCACACTTCCACTTCAGCTCTCAAAAATTTTTTAATACATTTTATTAAAACATTGTTATATTAAAAACATTTGGAAAGCTAAAGAAGCAGCGTGACAATTTTCTTTTCATCCTTTGCCACTGTGTTTTTGATTGTTCACCTGGCTTTGAAAATTCTAGATGTTGGCACATTTCAGTTTCTTGGCAACATGGTTATAATAAACATTAAAAGACATGCAAACAAAAAGCCATAAGCCTTTCGATTTTTTTGCGACCCCTGGGATGATTACACTATATTAAATACACAGCAATAGCATCAGGTGCAGCATATTGATTTTATGGCATTAGGTTAAACTTTCTGACACTATTATGGCACTCATGTTCATTAAAAAAAAGTCACTAGGCATGGAACAAAAACAGCGGTTTGGAAAATTTTATGTTTTAAAACCGGCAAAATATTCTGCTATATTGATCCTAAGGTGCGTGTTCAATTTTTTATGTGTTTTTTTTTTTTTTTTGCTTTGTTTGTTCTTTAGGACATAAGTCTCTCCAGCAGAAAAGATATTCAAAGATGCTGTTTTAAATTGTGAAGAAATCTGTGCTTTTGAAACTAATGAAGACAGCTGAAGTCAGCGGTTCATTTGAACCGTTTAGCCTGACATGTTTACTGCTCCAAATATTTAAAAAGTTTCTCAAATAAAATCTATTGTGTTTAAAGAGGAAAATTGAGTTTTTTTACTCAGATATTTCAAAAGAACATATTTTAGAGCAGTGATAAAAATTCAGTGAAATCGTGACATTTTTATCCAAAGTTACCCGTCAAAATCTTATACCGGCCCATTCCTACAGGCCACAACTGAACATGGATCCTCCTAATGGTGTTCTCCAAAATGAAATGATAAATAGACTTGAGTCTACTGTTGTGTGCAAGGCTAATATATTTATAACCACCTGAGAGAATATTGGGGGTGACGAGCAGTGGTGGAAGGAGTACTGAAAAATCATACTTAAGTAAAAGTTGCATTACTTGCACAAAAATGTAGTGCAAGTAGAGTAAAAGTATCTGCTGTAAACATTACTCAAAGTATGAGTAAAGAGTAGGCATTTCAAAAGTACTCAAGGATAGTGAGTATTACTCCATAAAAAGTTGTTCTGCATTTACAAGCAGGTTGTGCAGGGATGTGTAAACGTAACATTCTGTAGTGGATTTAGTAATCTTCCTATATTCATTTGTTCCTTCCAACTTTCTTCCATTGTTTGATTGTTCTGTGCTTCCGTCTTTAATTTGTTCGTTCCTTCATTTGTTCCTTCATTCATTCTGTCCTTCCTTCGTTTCACCCTTCATGTGTTCGCTCATTCATAGTTTGTTCAGTTCTTTCTTGAATCCTTACTTCATTCATTTTGTCTTTTGTTCGTTCGTTTTTATTTTATTCCTTTCTTCATTAAGCCCATTATTCTTTCCTTCCTTTATTCATTTGTTCATTCCTTCCTTCATTGCTTTGGTCTTTCCTTCATTTGTTCACTTATTCATTTGTTCTTTCATTCATAATTTTGTTCCTTCCCTCATTAGGTCCTTTGTTCGTTTGTTCATTCGTTCCTTTCTTAGTTTGTTCTGTTCAGTCACTCCTTAAATCCTTCCTTCATTCATCTGGTCCTTCCTTCATTCATTAGTTCAGTCCTTCCTTCGTTCGGTCCTTCCTTTCATGTTTAATTCGTTCCATTTAGTGATTGTTTAAGGAGGCTGTTTGGTGATTTCAGTCATCATACAGTTAACATCCTTTTTTTTTTTTTTTTTTTTTTTTTAAACAGTCGACATCTATTTTCTCATTAGTGACATTCAGTCCATTAAAAGACTGTGCGTCAATGTGTGTAAATAATTTGAACATCTTCTTGGATATTTTTAATGCTTCTAAAAGGTTTGCTGCATTTATTAAAGGCCGATGTGTTGATGTTCAGTATCATGTGATTTACTTTCTATGTGCGATTTGATTAGACTGGAATCACAGGACTGATTTTTCTACTTTAGCCAATCACCAAAGACAAGAAAGAAATAAAGTAGTGACTGCAGGTTGAAGGAAAGTAGTGGAGTAAAAGTGCAGATACTGCACTAAAAATATACTCAAGGAAAAGTAAAAGTACACATTTTTAAAACTACTTAGTAAATTACAATTTCAGAGAAAAACTACTCAATTACATTAATTAGTTACTTTACACCACTGGTCACGAGTCACTGGCATTGTTATTTTGGAGATCAGAGGCTGAAAAGTTTGGGAACCCCTGATCTAAAGTATGCAATTGAACACTAATAATCATTAAAAAATACCCTGATTTAACAGTCTAACAGAGACATTTATAACAATGAGCGGAATAAACACAATTCAGTGGATTTCACAATTCAGGATTCAGTGTATTTATAGCAATATTCAGCCAAATGTACTGGTTAGAGCAATATATATTGTTGATATGGCTGAAAAACCAAATGTTTCCCGTAATAAGTCATTGTCAAACAGTCCAGGTCATAAATCACAAAAATGCACATACAGTAAACAAAGCCCAGTTTGTATAGATTTTACCATCGTGGCATTCACAGTTCTCAGTTCAACCATCAGCATGCAATGAGCGAATATTACATATTACTACATAAATTAAATGCAATAATTAGCAAATTCAGGTTTTGTGTTTGGTTGTTAGCTAGATGAAATATGATGAAATATGATCTGGACTTGAAAGTATTTCCTTGAGAGATTTCCTGATTAAGATTTCTGTACAACATACAGTAAAATCTAACTTAAATAAAGGTCGCTGAACAAACAAAATGGACGTCAGAAATATTGAATCTACAAATCAATAAAACACATCTTTTAAAAAAATGTACACGTTAATTGTCCCTTTTACCCATGATTTCTCAAACAATCCACAGATCTACAGACTGTAACAGACTTACAAAAAATAAATAAATCCATTATCATCAAACGACAAAAAAAGGGGTAAATCAAAACCACTTATGCATACTTATGCTACCTTCATTAACAGGTTGTCTTGAGGATAAAACAAGAACTAGAGACTATACATTATAAATTGAAGTTCCTCTGAACGTTAACTGTGCTGGAAAACACACGCACACACACACACACACACACACACCCTTTCCCAGACCGACCTGAAGCGACACAGATCCTGTAATGGGAAACAGGCTCTCCAAAATGGATGGATGTGTAAACATGAGGCCTACACAGACGTGATGGAGTCCTGGAGGATTGTGGGTATGTGTAATTATGTATTAAAGGCCGAGGTGAGGGGGTCACCAGGAGAGGTGGAGATGAGGATGTTGATGTAGTTGAGCTAGTAACTCTTCTTCTGTCGGCTCTTTGACGTGCTCTCTGAAAGACAAAAACAACAATGGATTAATCTTAAAATTGAAGATTTCTTACTAAACTTAAATAAAGCCAAAAACTAAAATGAATCATTTTTTTTTATGCCACAAAGCATTAGAATATTAAAGTAAACATCATCTTCCATGAAGACATTTTTGACATTTAGAAAACCCTGGTGTAAGGCAAGAAGTTTTAACATTTAATCTATTAAACGCACTAATATCTACTTTATTAAGTGCACCTGTCCAACTGCTTGTTAATGCAAATTTCTAATCAGCCAATCACATGGCAGCAACTCAATAATGCATTTAGGCATGTAGACATGGTCAAGACGATCTGCTGCAGTTCAAACAGAGCATCAAAATGAGGAAGAAAGGTGATTTAAGTGACTTTGATTGTGGCATGGTTGTTGGTGTTAGACGGGCTGCTCTGAGTATTTCAGAAACTGCTGATCTACTGGCATTTTCACGCACAAACATCTCTAGAGTTTACAGAGAATGATCTGAAAAAAAGAAAAGATTCAGTGAGCGGCAGTTCTGTGGCACAAATGCCTGGTTAATGCCAGAGGTCAAAGGAGAATGGCCAGACTGGTTTGAGCTGATAGAAAGGCAACAGTAACTCAAATAACCACACGTTACAACAGAGGTATGCAGAAGAGCACTCTCCTGTCAGCTAAGAAGAGGAAACTGTTGCTACAATTCATACAGGCTCACTAAAATTGGACAATAGAACATTGGAAAAACATTGCCTGGTTTGATGAGTCTCGATTTCTGCTGCGACATTCGGATGATAGGGACAGAATTTGGCATCAACAACATGAAAGCATGGATCCATCCTGTCTTGTATCAAAAGTTTAGGCTAATGGTGGTGGTGAAATGGTGTGGGGGATATTTTCTTGGCACACTTTGGGCCCGTTAGTGCCAACTGAGCATCATGTCAAAACCACAGCCTACCTGAGTATTGTTGCTGACCATGTCCATCACATTATGACCACAGTGTACCCATCTTCTGATGGCTACTTCCAGCAGGATAACACGCCATGTCATAAAGCGCGAATCATCTCAGACTGGTTTCTTGAACATGACTATGAGTTCACTGCACTCAAATGGCCTCCACAGTTACCAGAACTAAATCCAATAGAGCAGTGGCTCCCAACCTTTTTTTTTTGGCTGAGACCCCCTTTTCCCCCCGGAAAATATTTTAAGGCCCCCCTCAACATTTAATGATATTATCGCTCATATAAGTTTGCAGTAAGGATGTCAAAAAAAAATTGTTGTTTTCAAACAAATGGTATGTTTATTTCTATATCTAGATATGTTTATGCACAAGTAATAGCCTGTGTAAAATGTAAAATGAGGGACGTCTTACAAAAACATTTAAAAGGCTTATATCAGACCTACAACTGGTAATGTAATTATTAATTATGCACATTAATTAAAAAAACAAAAAAAAAGTTGGTTTTAAACAAAAAAAGTACTTATTTCTAAAATGAAAGAGTCAAGGCTTTACGTAGCCTGTATATATGCTAAAAATGTAGATTTGTGCTTGATCATGAGAAGTGATAATGTCGAGATACTAAATAGCTGGGTAAACCACACCACATTCCACTAAATTAATTCATTACCCTTCCTCAATGAGGAATGTGAGGGAACGTTGTGAGAAAAGAAGCAAAACGTTTGAAATACCGAAGAGAAAAGCCTCAGGCAAACATTTCTGACAAGTATCGTCATCCATGCCCACAAAAATCGCATACAAGAGAAAACACTGCACGTCAAAATGAAATAATAAATCACTAACAAGCTATGCTGCAAAAATAAATGTTTAAGTCACAAGCGTTTATGTAATAGTTTGATAAATACATTGATTCCATTACTATTGACTTCAATGGAAACTAAAAACATTGGATGAGTTTTAATCGTTCAAAACAGGTGACGTGGGCTCAGTGGTTAGCATTGTCGCCTCACAGCAAGAAGGTTGCTGGTTTGAGTCCTTCCTGGACCAGTTGGCAATTCTGTGTGGATTTTGCATGTTCTCCTTGTGTTAGTGTAGGTTTCCTATGGCTCCTCCGGTTTCCCCCACAGTCTAAAGACATGCGTTATAGGTAAATCAAATAAACTAAACTGGCTGTAGTGTATGACTGGGTGTTTCCCAGTACTGGTTACAGCTGGAAGGGCATTCGCTGTGTCAAAGATGTGCAGCATTGCGTGGGAGTAAAGGGTTGCATTGGCAATCCAACACAATGGGCAGCACTGCACATTTTATAAGTGGTCAGAAACTTGTAAATAACTCATGAAAGAGTAAAGTTACATTAAAACCAAGCACACCATTGTTTTTCCTATGAAATTCCCAATAAGTCTGATGTGTCAAATGACCCTCTTCCTATTGAAAAAACAAAAGTTGGATCCAAAATGGCTGACTTTAAAATGGCCACCATGGTCACCACCCATCTTAAAAAGTTTGCCCCCTCACATATACTAATGTGCCACAAACAGGACGTTAATATCACCAACCATTCCCATTTTATTAAGGTGTATCCATATAAATGGCCCACCCTTTAGTATGCTTCCAAATACTATATTTTTATAGTATTTTTCATATAGCGTAAAAGCTTAAACAGTATCTACCACCTAGATGACCAGCAAATATATTTTAGTTTAGTAGAAAACTCATCCCCTCTTCATGATATAAGGATCATGCCCAACATATGTGGTTATTTTCTATTCATATGTACTTTGAAATATGGTATAAATCACCCAAAAAATACAGACTTTTCTCTGTCTCCCATTCAGTTTTTTACTTCCTGCCCTCCATCTGAATTTTGCACATCAACAGAACCACGTGATTGAAAACAACCTATTTACTCCTTTAGGTAGACTATACTAGCGAACTAATGTAGGCAATAGTAAATGAGGGTCTAGGAGTGATTTTAAACAGCATTTGATTTCCATTTTATGATTCTCCCAAGGTCCACGGTTTCAGCTAAAATGCTTCTTTAATGTTCTACTAATGTTCTGCTAAAGGGAAAATTCATCTTGAATGTGCTGAATGTGAGTAAATTAACAGCAAATGTTCATTTCTGATTCAAATGTCCCTTTAATAGGGAACTTATCAGTGGCTTTAGTCAGTCTTACTTGAACATAAGCTGCACAGTGCTTTGATAGGCGATCCTCTCCACATCTTCAACAGACAGACCATTACTGCGGTCCCACTTATAGGTGAAGTTCTGAAAGAAGAGCATATAAAAAGATTAACTACAATGCATAAAAAGGTTGACTGATTAGTAAAAGAAAAGGCTGCTTAATATATTATGGAGCATACAAGTTTTTTGTGAGTATGTGTTTATGAGTCCTCAACAGGTTCATAAAAGGTTAAAAATAACTTTTACACTTTGCGTTTCAGAATTGTTAATGCTTCCTAAGGTAAAATTAGTTGTGTTTAAAAAAAAAAAAACATACAAAGAAGAACGTTTAAACATTATTTAAACCTAATCTCAGTTCTGTTTTTGTACCTCTACCCTTTCCTTTTCCCCTTGAAACAGAGTGTGAAGGGGATGCTTTTCATTGGTGTATATTGTCAGTGTTTTACGAGACGTTTTTCCGGATTTAAACCCAATCTATTTTCACTGGCGTCGAGCAGAAAAGTATGCAAAATCACTCCTTGATGTTAGATGGCGCTACATGACTTTAAGCTTTTGACACCCGCTTGTGACACAGAAGAAGAAGACAAAGTTGACACGCTTGTTGTCATTGATGGTTTACACAGCAGCTCCAGCTCTAGCAATGAAGAAATGATTATTGTTCACCAGAGCACTAAGCAGCTCCACATTCATATCGCCTCTGGGCATCTTCTTCATTGTGCGCTCACATTGACAATTTTCCGCTTGAGAGCCTCCAAGTGCTGTTTACTGTAACTTCAGCAGCCTTGTGCACGTAAACAAAAGTGCCAATCTGATTGGTTGAAAAGGTTTTGATTCGGCACAACAAAACATAAAAACCAGCATGGGGTGTTTTGTTTAAAAAGGATGCTTTTGCACCTGGCATTTTGCCCGTTGATATGCATGATCACATTGATGCACTTTATTTAGTCACGAGGCGTTAAATGTCAACCGAAAACGTGAGCAAAAAACATCTCGGTGTGCACAGGTGTTAAGAATTAGGGCACCACTACAACACCTGCATCATATGTCATCGTGATCTCTTGCTTCATATGAGATCAGACGATCGCATCTACTGTAGTTATTCTAGTTGCATTATGTGCGACACAACTGACTCTTAAAGGGAATGGAGAGGAGACTCTGATTGGTTTAATGCACATTATGCTCAAAACACACCCATAACTCATTAAGAGAATAAGCACAACCCTTAGGTCTTAAGGCCTATGCTTATCTATAGCATTCTGGGAATTTGTTAAATCTTGACTGGGTCTATATTTAACTTAATATTTCATATATCAAAAACTTTAACAAATAAAACTCTTTATTTTTTTTAAGTAAATTGGTCAACAATCTACATACCTCTAAAATGAGTGCCACAAACAGGTTGACCCACATGACTGAAGATGTCAACCACCAGACCACAAAGTACACCAGAGACCAGCTGACATGGAAAAAAATGATAGGTACAAATTGACAAAAACCCATCACAGCCAAAGCAATCAAACGTGTTAAAGAAAGACAGAGGGGCATCTGTGTGTGTGACGTCTGACTTACTCTGTAGTGTATCTGGCATATGCGTCTGTGAAAACATGCCAGTTATTCACCACCATGATGTTATAGAGCAGAATCAGAGACGACTGGAATATTGACAGGGAGGAAAGAATTGTAACAGTTCAATCATTTACATTATGAAAGTTACATAGATTAAAGCAGAACAAACAGAAATACATCAATGAAAAAAAATTAACAGGGTTTATAAGGTCATGGAAGACCTGGAAAAGTTATGGAATTTTGACATGGATTTTAGTTTAGTCATGGAAATTAGTTTAACAAATATCTGTACACTTGAATATTCAGTCAGAATTATTAGCCCCCCTGAACTATTAGACCCCCTGTTTATTATTATTATTTAAACATAATAATTTTAATAACTTATTTCTAATAACTGATTTAATTTATCTTTATGTGTAAAGATGCTTTGTTCAGTAGACTATCAAAAAAATATATAGCTTAAAGGGGCTAATAATTTTATCCCTAAAATGCTTTTTAAAAAATTTAAAACTTTTTAAAAATTGCTTTTATTCTACCTGAAAAAAAACAAAAAACAAAAAAAACAAATAAGACTTTCTCCAGAAGAAAAAATATTATCAGACATACTGTGAAAATTTCCTTGCTCTGTTAAACATCATTTGGGAAATATTAAAAAAATGAAATAAAAAATAAAAGGGGGCTAATAATTCTGACTTCAACTGAAGGTTAAGTTGTCTCTATTTCTTTTCCTTGTCTTTTGTAACCGTATGACCTAATGTTTTATGTAAACGTAGACATTACATGAAACATTAGGTCATGAAATATTACTTGAAAGTCTTGGAAAAGTCATGGATTTTTTTCCGAAAGCATTTAAGCGTTTCTTTGGCTGTGTTTTGGATCATTATCTTGCTGAAATGTCCACCCTGGTTTCATCTTCATCCTCCTGATAATGAAGATGTTGGACTGAAGCAGCAAATATTCATGTACAATGACGAAGGGCAGAGGGTTGCTAAAGACCTACTGAGAGTACTGAGTAGTACTTTCACTGCCTTTCTACGCCTCCCTTTCTTCATGTGTTCAAAACTTTTCCCTTGTGTCATTTCATTTTATTACACATAACTTAATCAGTAAACCAAGTAGATTTGTTTTCTGTGCATGTATGGATTTTTTTGGTTGTTACCAACATCCAGGGAAAATTTAAAGTCAACGGCAGCTTTAGAAATATGTTTTCTGAGGAAAATGGTGATGTGTTCAGTACTTATTTACCCCTATATACAAAGCATATTTAGTCAAAGCTCTTACTAGTTCTTTTTCATAAGTGCTTATTTATAGCATTCTGAGAATTTGTTTAAAAAAAGCCTGTTCAGATCAGATAAATAATGAATGTTTTATCAGGATGTCATGGGAGGCTTAAAACGTTTTTGCAACTTACAGCAAAGTCATCAAAGTTGTTTGGCCAGTATTCGAGCTGCTCAAAAGTACCACATTCCATGCTATAGGGCCCTGTGATGTTCTCCAAGCTGGAGTTGGAGACCAGACTGAAAGGAAAGCACATGGAAAAAAAAGAGTTTAGAATTTATCAGTACTTCAACTTTGCACAGCATAGCAACACATACAGCGAGTGATAGTTCAAAATGACCACTTCTTTCATGTGTGACAACGCAAAGAGACAAATGGATTAAGAAAATGTGTTTAGGGGTGCTTTCACATTTGGTTCATTTGCCTTGATCGTACCCAAGTTCGATTGTCTTCCCATGCCACCTCCTCGGTTGGTTTGTGTTCATACTGTCTTTTTTCCTTCTGAACCCCAGTACGCTTGCGTCATCGAGCTGCTGTTTTGTTTACGGACGTTGCAAGGCGACGGTCACGAAAGCAAGTGCCGAAATGGAAAGACGTCCGCACATCGTGGTCATTCTGCTTTTACTGAAGCTTTTGGTTTTGGACATACAGAAAGCGACTCGCATCCATTGTTAATTGTTAATTCATTTATTTTCTTTGTTGATTATATGGGCTTAGCAATGGATGCATTTATTTAGACCTATTAATGAATGCATAATCAGCATCATGAACAAAGGTCGATTTTTATTTTCGAAGGGCCTGTGTTGTGCGAGTTTACCATAGGCTGCATATAGCCTTGACTCTTTCATTTTAGATACAAGTACTCTACAGTAGGTGAGAGTTCAAAGTGGCTATTAACGCCGCGGCTGGTACCGCCGCCGTTTGAAATAGGTGCCGCTCTGTTTTTAGTGTATGACCGCAGTTTGTGAATGAGCCGCCAGGGGGCGCAAAGGGACGGGATGCGAACGGACAGAAATAGCCCATACAGCTACTGTGCTTGTAAATGATATTAAACAATAAGTCAAAGCATTATAATTCCTTCATTAATCATTTAAAATTTGTTAACACGCTTTATTGTAAACTTTTTAAGTGCAAAGAGGATTCGTTTTGGAAAATAGAATTGAAGAAGTAAAAGACAACTAAAATGAAAGCACAAACATTTAGTACAAATAAGTAGTCTTAAATAAATAAATAAATAAATAAATAAATAAATAAATAAAGCAGCCTAAATATGGAAAGATGTTGCAGTGTTTGCACGATTTGATTATTATCATCATATCCAAATACTTTAAAAATAATATTCTAAACCTTCTCTGGTGTTTATTGTTTTTAGAAAATATCTAAAATCTTTTAAAAGAAAATATCTTGTAAAATAAAAGTTTGATTTGGCTTTAACGGTTTTATTTATGTATAGGCCTACCTAAACTGTTATAGCTTGCTTTTGCTTGTTTTATATTGGTTTATTTATTTAATGCGATTTTATTATATCCGATAATGTAATTCTTTAAATTATATTTCAATGTGGCTTAGGCTTATCAAGATATGACACTTGTTTTGAGTCTACAAAAGGTAATTTGTAAAGTTTTATGTCTTTCTGTTGTATTCATATGGTGTATTATCTGCAAAATAAATAACAAAAAGAAAGAAGCCGCTAGCAGCATCAACAGAGCTGTGAAGAGAGCGCTCTTTTGCTCGGTCTCTCACACACAACCTTTATGTCTGCTGTTTCTTTAATATGGTGTGTAGATTATTATGCGTTATTGAAACATCAAGGGGGACGCAGCAAAATCACTTATAAATTAAAATTGTATTATTTTATGCAACAGCCTTACATTTAAAACGGAAACATAAGGGCGATTATAAGCAAAAAGACCTCAGCCTATAAGTCTAGATGTTTTCTTTTCCTTTTTTATTTATTTGTTTATTTGTTTGGCGCATGTGTGCGATAGGAAAACTAGTGTAATTACGGCAAGCCATCTTTCCCAGACTCGGGGCAAATTCCTTTCACTCCGTCCCGAAGCCCCAGCTGGCCCTCCTGCCATCCACTGCGTAAAACATATGCTGGATAAGTTGACGGTTCATTCCGCTGTGGCGATCACAGACTAATAAAGGGACTAAACTGAAAAGAAAATGAATGAAGAATAAATTAATAAATTAATAATAATAAAATAAAAATAAGGTAATAATAAACACAAATGCCGCGTAAGCGGCCTTTTTTTTTTTTTTTTAGAGATGGTACATTTGAATTGCCTCTTCCCACTTCCCCCACCTCGAAATTGAAAGTTGCAAAGAGAACTATAGCTCATTTACACCTTGATGCCTTAGCATCAATAGCAAAGATCATAGCCCATTTACACATCAACACAGTGCAAGTTTAGCGGAAGAATGTCAAATCAGAATCACGCAGATGAAGCACACCAGCTACTACTTTCATGAAACTATTAAAATAGTTTTGTCATAAATTTGCTTATTTGCAGCAGCTTTTTTTCGCGCAACAGAAATGCGGCGTTGGGAAGCCGTCAATGAATAAAAACAGGGTCAATAGTGAAATCGGCTTTTCATTGTATCCCTATTACCTATTTCAGTGCATTGAAGGCCTTTTATAGTGTCATCTCGATAGAATAGCCTAAGTTATAAATAATTTAAAGAACAAAGTTATAAAAACTCACATTACATAAATAAACAATTAAAAATATGTTTAGGTTGTCTATTTAATTGCCCTCGTGATGATGGTGTGCTTTATCATTATGTGCGTTTTACTTATAACTAACCTGATTCAAATGATGGATCTGCGACAGAGAAACTAGGGGTTTTGGGGGACATGCATCACTATATCCTTTTTTTTCCCCAAACTGTGCATAGTTCAGCTGCAAGTTACTGTACGTCTTTTTTTGGAAAAGCACCCCATGTCCGCTAGTGCCGCGCGCCTCTTTCTCTGGGCAAAAATGAGTTGATTTTTAAAATAATAAATATATAGATTAATTAAATTTTCAGCAAAAGAGACATTTATTTCATATTTCACTATGCATTTCATCTGATCTTTATAGCTTAATTAAACACATATTGTCAAAACCCACACATAGGCCTATTGTATGAAAATGAAAAGGGCATTTTTTGTTATTATTACACTACTATTTGTTATTTGTTGCCTAGGCTATTTTCACATTTGAGGTGCTTTATTGGCATGACAAGTAACTGTACATTCGTTTTGCCAAAGCAGTGCGCGTCTCACAAACAAGACAGTGCAAAAAGGGCAGTAGTGCAAACAAATATAAAAATAACATATAATAAAAAAATTATTAATAAAAATAAAAATAGAATAAAAAATAAAAATATAATAATAAAAATAAAAATAGATTTTTGATAACATTAAACAGGATAAAGGTAATAATAGTAGCCTATTATCAAAAGTAAGTCCACATAAAGAGTTCCAGTATTTGTGTGTTGGAGACAGGAGCGGGTATTGTTGGGTGAACACACAGCAGCACACACACTCCCCCAGTAAGATGGGTTCTGTTCGACAGGGACTCAAAGTTGTTTTGTATGTGTTGGATTATCGGGTAGAATTTCTCCCGGATCTCGGGGTATTTAGTGCACTCAGGATATGCAGCTCCGTCTCAATCAGCTGCTGAGGGCACAGCCGCTTCTCCACCGGCAGCCATGTTTTTTTTTTTGTGCCGGCCCGTCTTTACGGCTAGCTGATGTCCGCTGCCCGCTTCTAACATGTTAGAAAATACTGCAAATCAAGTTGTCGGTATCTCCCCACGGTTGAAATTGTTCGTTATTCGGAAAAAAAGAAGAATAAATATCAGCGCGCAGTAGTTGCTTTCTAGATTATTTAGGCCTATATTCAGCTGTTTTAATCTTGCAATTCTGATAATTAGAGATAATGTCTGTTTTTATCAACTTGTCTGTCATTTATTTCTCATTTGCTACTTATTTTATTAATTTGTTGATGTTATTAGTCGCTTTTTAGGTGCTGCTATGAATAAAATAAAACTATTAAAAAGCACATTAAAGACTACTCATAAATTAAAACATTCATAAAGGAGTATCTTATGAAAAAACACCAATTACCGGGGTCTGCTTTTGGTTTTAAAAGAATCAAGCAGCTTTAAAAATATAATTTGCTGAAGAGAAATGACAGGGAAAAAAAGATTGAACATATCGGGACTGTTAAAAGAACATTCCTCTTTGAATTATTCTTTCGAGTCCGACACATCAGCTAAGATTATGAACGACGGAGTGTCTCTCCTGCTTCAGTGGCGTGTCCAGCTGGTTATAAACGAGGAGGCGGAGAGAATGCGCTGCTTAGTTTCGGCTCGATATATTTAAATAAAAACTAACAACGAGTTGCTTATAACGCTCAAAAAGTTAAACTCAAATGCACAACCCTTGTTGGTTACACCTGCGGGATGCACAATGAACCTAACGCGCCATTATTTTAATTCTATATTCGTGAAGAATGAGCCAACCGCATATGCTTAGTCCTGTTGGTCGGGACTCTGCTTTATAACTTATTAGTTTATTACAATAATCACACTTAGCTTTGCCATCGTTCTTCACCACATAGCCACTCAACACATCTTGCGGTCCATCTTTAATGTTTAGATTATTGAAGGTGCTATTGACGTTTTGAGAAAAAAATTAATAGTACTGAAACTAAATTATTAAAAATAAACTTGCGGGACTTCATTTATGTCCTGCGGCAACATTATTTTTATTACACTTTAAGTGATCTGCTTGAGGTAGGTCACGTTTATCAATGGTAAGTTTTAGCCTAAGTTTACATCAATAACATAATGTGCATTGTCCTTTACCATACAAAAAAAAAACATTATTATACACCAGTTGCCTGTAGCCTATAAAAAGGCCGCAAATATTTTTAAATGCATTAAAAGGCAAGCACATATCTTAGCCTTAGTTTGTTCACACTCTGCCTGTATTAACATAAATGCTGTATTTTAATATAGCCAATTTTGATTAATTAGCTTTAACTGACAGCCTTTTCTTCTTTTTCCGCGGTTATGCGGCATTATATTTCACACGCATATGCAAGGTGACTGAATATGAAATTAAAATACAAAACATACTGAGCCATTAAGTAAAAAAACAAAACAACAGTTATACTTTAAAGCAGAACATTGACGTTTTGAAACAAAAAAACAGAACTGAAACTAAATTATTAAAAATAAACCTGCCAGACTTAATTTATGTCCTATTTTCATTATTCATTTATTTTCATTATTTGTTTATTATTATGTACTATAATTGAAACATAAAATGAGATCGTAAATATAATCAACAACGAAAATGTAAATAAAAACGTAAATTAAAAATATAAATGAACATGTCTAGTCTTAGTTCTATCAAAATAGCAAACACTACATCTCTCTATATTTAGACTAAAAGACTGCTTTATTTATTTATTTATTTATTTATTTATTTATTTATTTATTTAAGACTAATTATTTGTACTGAATGTTTGTGCTTTCATTTTAGTTGTCTTTCATTTCTTTAATTCTATTTTCCAAAACGAATCCTCTTTGCACTAAATAAGTTTACAATAAACCAGGTAAAAAAAAAAATAAATGTAAGTTGAGGTGATCGCAAGTTCACAGCTGTGAGGTGATGTGCTCTACCGGCAGGATAATCTATATTATTTTGCTGTTTTTCATATGCGCACGTTTAAGATTTGAGATTATAACATTGCCATGATAGTCAAAGAAATCAAAACATTATTTTCACCCCAACGCAATTTAATCAGGCACTAAAGGCTAATAACTTAATTCTTATATTTGCTTTTTGACTTCTCACCATGTATCTTTTCTACAGCATAGTATAGTGTAAGAGCATGTCTATTACCAGAAAAACTAAATTAAAATTATATTTTAATTGAACACATCACATCACATCACATACAGTAAGCTACGCCTAAAGAACAGTCTGTTTAGCACTGTGAAAAGGCAAAGCTGAATATCTGTGGTTAAAGTGCCACCCAGCGGTCAAATGCTGCTGGTGCATCAAGTACCGCCGTCGCCGCGGCATGAATGGCGGCACAAGGAACACATTGAAGTAGTAACATCTGTATGTTTGTTTAAAACTACTTTTTTAGCTGTTTCAAGTCTTAATTAATGTACATAAATAATAACTACATTACCAGTTGTAGGTCTGATATAAGCCTTTTAAATGAAATTTTTGTAAGAATTCCCACATTTATTTAATAAGAAATCAATTAAAAACACCTGTAATTTTGTGATGAATTATTAGAATTTGTAACTGTCTTTGATTTTTTATGCATCTTAAAATGCAATTAAATCTTGTCGAAACCGAAATTAATTTTTCTTAATTAATCCTGTTTTCATTCACGTTTCTATGTACATTTTTCAAAACAGCATAAAAATGTGGAATAGAAGTTGCCCCTGCCAAAAAATAGATATTTTATTATATTATTGGGAATTTGCACCAGTTTCTCAGCAAGTGAGGATCCTCATGAACACATTAAATAGAAATGTATTATTAAGCTACAAGTTAAATTCACAGCTTAAGATCCGTCCTTCGGAAATCATTCTAAGATTGCGAATCCATTGTTAATTGAGCACTAATAATAAGTTTCAATAATAGAGCAGAAAATCAGCAAATTAGAGTGATTTCTGGAGAACTGTGTGACACTAAAGACTGGAGTAATGATGCTCAACATTCAGATTTGCCATTTTAAACTATCATAGTTTTAAAATAAATCACAGCCTTGGTAAGTTCTAGGAACTTCCAAACCTTTAAATATCCTGTTAAATGGACATTTAATGAACCATACCTCATGTTTGATGGAGGACTAATAGCTCCTTGGAAAAGCCAGATACCGAGAACTGCAAACATATAGTATACCACCTGAAATGAAGAGACCAAACTCAATATCAGTGATAAAATCTCTATAATGACACTGTATAAGAAGTCTGGTCACTTACCAGAAGAATCCCAGCAAATGCCCGTAGGTTTTTTACCAGGTCAACGATAGTGCTGGCCACCACTGCCATCAACTGAAGAGTAAAAATAATAATCAATTAACGCAAGATTGTCAAACTCAGTTCCTGGAGGGCCGCAACCCTGCACAGTTTAGTTCCAGCCCTGCTTCAACACACTTGTCTGTAGGTTTCAAACAAGCCTGAAGGACTCAATTAGTTTGATCAGGTGTGGTTATTTAGGGTTGGAACAAAGCTGTGCAGAGCTGCGGCCCTCCAGCAACTGAGTTTAAGCAAAGAATGAAGAAAGGAAGGAAGGCAGTGAATAAATGTATGAAGAAAAATAGAAAGGATAGAAGAGGTGTATTAACCCTTAAAGACCTAGAGGTATTTTGTGGGCACCTAATGGGCCTATGTTATTATTTTTTTTAAAAGCAGTTTTATTTTTATTTTAGCAGTCAGCCTCAAGTGTCATATATCATTTTAAACAGGAGAACCTGAAGTTTCAATCTGTATTATTTAAAGGTCTAGTCTAAAATATTTTTTGGTCCAAAAACATATGAACAGACAGAAAATATTCCAGAATTTTCCAGAAACGATTTTTTAAAAAAGTGGCATTTTCTAGTTATTTCAAACAAAACCTTATGAAGTTTGTTTTTCTTTCTTTAGAAATACATGCTATGATGTTTTATACTTCCAAAATAAATTTTGTCTACATCCACAATTCCCTGAGCAAGTTATAGCAATTTATTTCAATGTTATTCCAAGGCGTTTTTCTATGGGGGAAAAAAATGCATTTATTTACTGACAATGTATTTGCCCAAAAGTTCTGGGAATGAACTAAACAGAAAAAAAATGTTACAAAATAATAGAACAGTGAAGCAAATTTGACTTTTTCCAAATAATATATTTTCAGTTACTATAAACAACACCACTTACAATGAACAAATAAAAAAAAAAAAGAAAATAATAAATAATGTGTCAAAGTCCAAATAAACATGGTGCAAATCCTCAGTAAAAAAATAGATATAAATATTTACTATACCATAAATAGTTACATAACTAAACTAGGTTCAATATGGAACATCCTTAGGTTTTATGTGCCAGCATGGATATGGTTGTCCGTGGATATGGATTTGGATATGGTTGTCTGCAATGCAGACAAACAGCTGCACCTTCATTTGTGTCTTTTGAAAACAGCAAGAGCAGCAGTTCGTCTTTGCTGTGTCACTGTTTTGTCATGTTTCTGTGCTGCTGTGCATGCAAAAGTACTTAGTATGAGAATTATTTCATGCAAAACATTTTTTTGCGTTTTATTTAGCCGCGCATAAATGTATGCCTCATGTATCTCTCATTCCGTGTTGTTCAAAAAGCTTGTTGGTCCACAAACAAAAGCGAAACCTAGGCTTTTTGGTTGTGATATAGCGAGTTTGAACCAATCTGGGCATGGAGGAGGGACAATGCATCAATGTATCATGTCTGGTTTGTCCGGAGACACAGTGACGAGCGTTTCTTTGTCAAATCAGCGTTGTCAAATTTTGATGACGTAACCGCACTGATTCCGGAGCCTCTGAAAGTCCGCGAATGTTATGTGATACAGCACTGGAAAGCTGAGATTCTCTTCTTTATGCCAATCTTTGAATTGTATGAATCGGATCAGCGGATCAAAAGTTATTAAACATTTAAGAGCAATACTTATTTTTAGCCGCGGGCGGCTGTCTCAGTCTTTAAGGGTTAAGGAAGGGAGTGAATGAATGAACAAATGTAAGAAGGAAATAAAAATAGACGTAAATAAAAGGAAGTGAATAAGTAAGGATGGATAGAAGTAAAGAATAATTGAAGTAAATCATGAAGGAAGAAAGGAAGAAAGTAAAGAAGGAAGGTAGAAGTGAATAAATTATTAACTGAAGAAAAAAAGCAGTGAATAAATGTATAAACTAAGGTAAAAAGGGATAAAAGAAGGGAATTAAAGAAGGAAGAATAGATGTAAAGATGGTAGAAAGGAAGATAGGAATGAATGAACAAAGGTGCAAATGAGTGAATAAAAGAAGGAAGCAAAGATAGACGGAAGTAAAGAATGAATGAAGTATGATGTACAAAATGAAGGAGGAATGGAATGAAGTAAAGAAGGTAAAAGTAAATGAAATAATGAACTAAAGAATGAAGGAGTAAATAAATGAATGAACGTAGGTAAGAAGGGAATAAAAAAGGATCGAAGAAAAGAAGGAAGGTAGAAGTGAGTAAATTAACGAATGAAGGTAAGAAGGAATGAAGGGAATAAAAGAAGGATGGAAGTAAAGAAGTAGGGTAGATGTGAATAAATTAATTAAGGAAGGAAGAAGTGAATGAATGAATGAACAAAGGTAAGAAGAAAGGAAGTATGGATGGAAGTATGAAGTAAAAAATAAAGAAGGAGTTCAATTGAAAATGAATGAACGAAGGAAGAAGTGAATAAATGAATAAACAAAGATAAGAAGGAATGAAGGGAGTGAACAAAAGAAGAAAGGAAGTAAAGAAGGAAGGTAGAAGTGAATAAATGAATGAACGAAGGAAAGAAGGAGGGAATAAATGAATGAACGAAGGTAAGAAAGAAAGAAGGGAATAAAAGAATAAAGGATGAAAGAAAAGAAGGAAGAAGTGAATAAATGAATGATCAAAGATAAGAAGGAAGGAAGTGAATAAAGGCAGGATGGATGGAAGTAAAGTATGAAGTAAAAAATGAAAAGAGTTAAATTAAACGAATGAACGAAGGGGTGAATAATTGAATGAAGGTAGGAATAGAGAAGTGAATAAATGAATAAAGGAAGGACGGAGGTAATGTATGAAGTAAAAATGAAGGAGTTTAAATTAATGAACGAAGAAAGGAAGGAGTAAATAAATGTATGAATGAAGGGAAAAAGGGAATAAAAAGGAAGGATTGAAGTAAAGTAGGAAAGTATAAGTAAATAAACGAACTAAGGAAGGAAGTGAATAAATAAATGAACAAAGTTAAGAAGGAAGGAAGGAGTGAATAAATGAATGAATGATGGTAAGAAGGAAGGAAGTAAATAAAAGAAGTGAGGAAGGTTAAATGGAAGTAAGAAGTAGAAAATGAAGGAGTTTAATTGAAAATGAATTAATGAAGGAAGGAAGGAGTGAATAAATGAATGAACGTAGGTAAGAAGGGATGAAGGGAGTGAATAAAAGAAGAAAGGACGTAAACAAAGAACGTAGAAGTGAATAAACGAATGAACAAAGAAAGGAAGGAGTAAATAAATGATTAAACGAAGGTAAGAGGGAAGGAAGGGAATAAAAGAAGTAAGGCAGGATGGATGGAAGTAAAGAATGAAGTAAAAAATTAAAAAAGGAGTTCAATTAAATGAATGAACGAAGGAGTGAATAAATAAATGAAGGTAGGAAGGAAAGAAGAAGTAAATGAATGAGGGAAGAATGGATGAAGGTAATGTATGGACTAAAAAACGAAATAGTTTAGTTAAATTAATGAATGAAGGAAGGAAGGGAAAAAATAGAAAGGATCGAAGCAAAGAAGGAAGGACGAAGTGAATAAATGAATAAATGAAAGTAAGAAGGAATAAAGGGAATAAAAGAAAGAAGGATGGAAGTAAAGAAAGAAGAGCGAACAAATGGATGAACGAAGTTGGAAAGGAAGAAAGGGAATAAAAAGGAAGGATGGAAGTAAAGAATGAAGGAATTGAATAAGGGTAGAAAAGAAGGAATAAATAAAGGATGGATGGATATAAAAATGAAAAAAGAAGGATGGAATAAAATAAAGATGGAAAGTAAATAAAGAAGGAACAAGTGAATACATTAATGAACAAAGATAGTGAATGAATGGAGTGAAAGAATGAATAAAGAATGGACCGAATAAATGTAAACCATAAAATAAATTAAGAATAAAATGTCACCACTGCACTATTTTCATATCCATGTGGGTTTATAGAAACCCGTTGATGATTATTAATGTGAGCAATCAGTCACCAACCTTGATTTCTGGAATAATCCTAAGGAAGCGGAAAACGATCAACATGTTGACCAGTCGTATCATCTCCCACAAAGCCATCACGTGCCGCGGAACCGGATCCCTGTCAAGATGAGAGCAAAACATCCAAATCACTGAGAGATTCATTTTTTTAAAGCCAGTTTAATGATTGTGAACTCCGTACACACTCACACGTCCACATAGGGAATCTTGAATGTGATGAATATGACGATCTGAATTGCCTGTTGAGAAAAAAGAAACAACATGTCTCAGGTTAGTATCTTCACCCACACATGATCTACAGGTCACCACAATATCATTACCCCTCCTGTGACTTTTAAAGAGGACCTATTATGCAAAAATCACTTTTATAAGGGGTTTAAACACAGTTGTGTAGCAATAGTCTAATATAACCAGTTTCTAACGGTACAAGTATATTATTTTTAATAATCACACTTGATAATGCCATACACTTTTATACACATATACACTTATTTAACAATACACTTTACATGCCAATTTGCACATAATAGCTACACATATAACATTGTCTATAGTAATATAGCTCTACATACACTTGTCTGTTTGTATATTTGCATTCACTACTTACTGATTTTTTTTACATATACATTTATTTTCTGTTTTTTTTTCCTGTCTCTTTAATTCTGTTGCACTGTAGAAGCTCTGTCACGAAAACAAATTCTTTGTATGTGCGAACATACCTGGCAATAAAGCTCTTTCTGATTCTAATAACAGTCTGCAGAAACACTTTGATTGACATTCTCCCTTTGTGTCATCAGAGGGGGAAAGCCCTGCTCATTAGTGAAGATCTCTCCCTCATTGGCATAGGAAATTTGTCTTTTTTTATCTGCCACTATGCTGACACATAGGCATTTGTAGCTCCGCCCACTTTTGAAAAGAACACAATCTCATTTGAATTTAAAGCGACAGTCACCAAAATGGCACAATTAGGATCAAAACCTAAAAGGGGCAGTTTCAAAGAGTTATAAAACTTTATTTACATCTTGTAAAAAGGGAGATAATAGGTCTCCTTTAATCTATTTTTCAAATATTTCCCAAAGTGCTGTTTAACGGAGAAAAGATTTTTCCAAATTTTTTTAAACATACCATTCTTAGTAATTTAATAATTTTCTTTGTCTGTTGACATTACATTAATGTTTTCCTGTGTTTCTATATGGAAAACTAAAATTAAACACAATACAATTTGTTTTCCTCATGACTTCATAATGTATAACTTTTTATAATTTGTAACATAAAACTTCTCCTGCTTTACCACAGCAAAGCTTAAAGTGTCTTCTTTCCAATGATGCATAATTTGTGTTTGTAGCTTACTGGAGTCAGGAACTGTTACTATTTAAACTTAGGTAGATGTAAATCCCCAAAATTGAGTGCTGGCTAACAGGTTAATAGGATGACACTACAATATTCTGTTATTTTGCAAGATGTTCAACTAGGTTAACTAGTTTAGGGGTTTTCAAACTGGGGTCCGTGGACCCCTGGTGGGCCGCAAGAGAGCACTAGGGGGTCGACGAAAAACTTGGCAGAAACAAAAATTATTTCCGAGATATTTTTTTCCAATCCTAAAATTATTTAAGACTATAAATAATTAATCTATATATAGTTTTATGATTTATATAAGTGGATACTTAATTCTAATGTGTTTATCCCAAAATCCTTTGCACTCTTTAAGGTTTTGCAAACAGCTGAATGGAGCAATTGGCAGCTGTAAGTGCAGTACAGATGATGGAAAGATTTTTAAAGAATCAAGCAAGCAATAGTCCCTGAGAGGTGTTTAAAAGCGTCATATTTGTCATCACTCCACATCACTCGTGCTAAGAAGCCGCACACAATTGGCGAAGCATTGTTGTTACCAGCTACCAAAGGCATTGTCAGATAGTTATTTGGAGAGGAATCGGCATGAAAGGTAGATTGTGTGTCTTTGTCAGACAACACAGTAAGCAGACGCAAAAGTTCAATGTAAGTATTTTGCAGTTTTTCATAAAAACAAGACAGGGAAGAAAAACTACAGAAACTACAAATGTTACAAATGTCCAGGTTTAACTTTTCATCTACCAATGCCTTATTTAGAAAAGCTATCTTGTTCAGTTAATGTAAATATTTTGTTGTTGTTTAACGAAATATAACAATTTTGGGAATCATTTTTGGCTATAGTGAGTTGCCAACTAATAAAATAAATAGTTTTGAAAACAATGCCGTTTTGCATGCCTGTGAAATATGAACTATAATGTCTTTACGTTATACAGAATTTTAGTTTACATATTTATACTTGAAATACATTAGTGCCTTTAAACTTTAGGCAAAGGAGTCCCCTGAAAGGAATCATCATATTTGGGGTCCCTGAGATTAAAAAGTTTGAAAACCCCTGAATCAGGCAAGTCATTGGAAGACAGTGGTTTATGCTGTAGCCAATGAAACAAGCTAAGCATTTTTCTTAAAAGGGATAATAATATTGGCCTTAAAATGTACCTAGAAATAATAAAAAACAGTTTTTATTACAGCCAAAATAAAAAAATAAGTCTTTATCAAGAAGAATAATACTGTGAAAATGCTGATGCTAAACAAACTTCAGCTATATATAAAATACACTAAATAATCTATAATCATTATTTTAAATATAATCTAATTAAAACAAACGCAAACAACCTTACCAGCAGAAGAACTGTGAGAAATCCATCAAAAATGTTATTCCTGTATGACAGATAACCTTTCCAACCAAACGCCACTATTTTCAGCAGCATCTCTATTAAATAGTACAGGATGAAAATACAGTTGATGATCTGAAAGACAAGCAGTGTTTGTATTAATATTCACAAAATCACCTTCAAAATTTCAGAATAACAATTGCTGTGTCTATAATTTAATTAGGTCTGGGAGTAAAAATAAAACATCTAATTTTAATCTTTATATATTAAACTGCGTTATTATTAAAGCATCATGGATTTTTTGGTAGATGCATGAGACACTTACCTCCATATAAAAGTAATTTTTCTCTGAGGCAGATTTCTCTGCATTCAGAACCAAAACAGTCTGCAAAAAAATAATAAAATAACAGATATTAAAGATGATATTCATGGTTCAAAGTTAAAACAACAAGTCATAACACTGTTCATTTCTAATACTGTAACTGTACAGGATAGAATGTAGTTTCAAGGAAACTTTTGTTTTGCATACACCCTCCACAAGATGGCACCATTTCACCATTCAAACTGAAATAGATTTTCACTAATTTGTTAGGGGCATGTGAGCACTTGTATATTTTGCTGTTTTATATATAGCAACTGTAGTCAACATTTTCCATGTTTGTATTTAATAAAACTAAAACAAAGAAAAAAAATGGGTCAAGTCCGGAAAAATGATCTTCAAAGCACTGAATTTGGTGTATTTTATGCACCCAAAAATCCTATCAGGGATAATCACTGCAAGAATTATTAGATGACATATTCACAGTGCAGACCCAAAAATTACAAATTAATTGTCATTTTAAATCTTTATATCTTGCTACAATGCCTTAAACAACTAGGCTTTACCATTTTTACATTTTAAATGGGATATTTTCTTTATTTTAAATGTATTAATTTTAAATTTATTAATTTTATAAATTTTTTTGTAAAATAGTTGAGTATTGTCGTATTTAATATTAAAGCCTTTAGATTTTTTTTTAAAATATATATATCAAAATTTAATTTAACTCGTCATATTTATACCAAAAGCCTCTCGCAGCTCCGTCTTGCACCACTAGGTGGTAAACAATCGTTGTTAAAGAGACATTCATTTATTCATTTTCCTTTGGCTTAGTTCCATTATTTATCAGGGGTTGCCACAGCGGAATGAACTGGCAACTTATCCAGCATATGTTTTACACAGCAGATGCCCTTCCTGCTGCAACCCAGTACTGGGAAACATCCATACACACTCATTCACATACATACACTATGGCCAATTTCATTCATTTATTCGTTTTCTTTTCGGCTTAGTCCCTTTATTAATCAGGGGTGGGCCAGTGGCAACCCCCATAAAATTTTCTTAGGGGTGGCCAGAAGAGGCCGCACCAAATCTTGGGGTGGCACACAAAAAATAATAAATTCAGTGTAATGATATATTTTTGTTTCTGGTAAATGAAATAATGTAGTTTTTATTCATTTAATTAATTCTACTTGAAATATTGCAATTTATTCTTTGAAATAATTCAGCAAGTACATCTGCAAACCAAATAAAAATCTATGTTTATTTTAAAAACACTTTTCATATACTGTATAAATAACTTCTTTTTTTACGTGCCTTTATTGTACATCATACGGTATATGCCATGTCTAAAATTAATGAAGATTAATGAGTTTATTATTCCCAGAGATGGGTTGCAGCTGGAAGGGCATCCGCTGTGTAAAAATCTGCTAGATAAGTTGGCGGTTCATTCTGCTGTGGTGACCCTGGATTAATAAAGGGACTAAGCCAAAAAGAAAATGAATGAAAGAATAATGAGTTTATTAATTACCCAAACAAATGAACAAACTGAACAAAAGGCATTACTATATACACACTCTACCTAATAATATTATTTATCCATATTGCTTTTTGAACCATTTTATTAATGCAGCTTCTTCTATTGATATACTGTAGCTTAAGGTAAATATTAAATAGCCATTGCTGTCTATTGAAGGTGTGTGCGTGCTGTCAAGGACGATCGGGGAGGGTAGTGGTGGTTCTAGTTTAAATGACACCCTGGGCGAACCACCCTATACACCCCCCACCACTCTTGAATTGTTAGATTTGTTATTCAATAAATATAACAATTTATTTATATTTATTCTAAATAAATACAATTAATATTAATATACAATTATTATTCTAAATAAATAACAGAAATCAGTCCTAAATATTACTGGAAAACAACTGGAGTGATATGCCAACATCACTTAAGAAACCTTTTGCATGAAAATTAATTATGACAATTCTAAAGAATACAAAAAATGTATTATAGAATTATCTGTGATCTTAGACCAGATCATGGCTGAGAAATCATGTATGAAGTCTTACCTCCCTGACTCATTATCCCTCCTTTCTGCTTTAAAGGCATGTTTAGTGAAAGTAACATCATCATCATCATCATCATATTATATAAACTTTAAACGACTTTCAAAACTCGCTGCGTGCCGACACCTCTGCACAAAAGGCTGTTACTCCGGTTTCACTGCGCATGAGCGGTGCCTATTATGTCGGCGTGCATGCAAACAACCAACCGGGATTCACACAGGAGTGCGTGAGGCGCGCGGGAATGGTTTTCCGCGCGCATGCGTCAGTTTGCTTTCACCAGCATTGAACCAGAGGGGGAGAGCTACGTCAGTAACACCAACAATAATTTAGTGACTGCATTTTATTTATTTATTTATCTAAATATTGGGAATTTATGAGTTCATTTAAATCAATAATGTCAACCGCAAAATTATATTGGGGTGGCCAAAGGGGTGGCCACAGGGGTGGCCAGAGTTTACTGAGGGGTGGCCGTGGCCACCCCTGGCCACCCCTTGGAGGCGCCCCTGGGGTGGGCACATTGGAATGAACCGGTAACTTATCCAGCATACGTTTTACGCAGGAGATGCATTTCCAGCCGCAACCAAACACTAGGAAACACCCATCCAGTCTTGCACTACGGCCATTTTAGCTTATTCAATTCACCTATAGCGCATGTCTTTAGACTGTGTGGGAAACCGAAGCACCTGGAGGAAACCCACATGAAACAGTGGAAAACAAGCAAACTCCACACAGAAATGCCAACTGACCCAGCCAGGATTCAAACCAGTGACCTTCTTGCTGTAAGGCGACAGTGCTAACCATTGAGACACCGTGTCACCATGTTAAAGAGACAGTTCACCAAAAACTAAAAATCTAGTCGTTTGCTCAGCCTTCATTTGTTACAAATGTGATGGAGTATTTTTCATTGTGTTGAATACAACAGAAGTTATTTTGAAGAATGTTGGAAATCAGTATTTATTGCTTTCTATAGTATTTGTTTCCTTACAATGGGAATAAATTATGACAAGGATTTCATTTTTGGGTGAACTGTTCCTTTAATATAATACACTGTACAAAAAAAAAACTCTTTATTTAGATGTTTTGTCTTGTTTCTAATCCAAATATTTAAAAATTCCTAAAATTAGGAAGTATTTTCTAGAAAAGCAAAAAATATTTTCTTGTTTTTAGAAATAATATGTCAAAATTGGGAGAGTTTTTCCTTAAAACAAGCAAAATAAATTACCAATGGGGTAAGAAAAACTTACGTCGAAGCAAAAACACGATTATTTTACTTAGCCCATTGGCAGATTATTTTGCTTGGTTTAAGGATAAGCTTACTTCATTTTGACATATTATTTCTAATAACAAGAAAATATTTTTGCTTTACTAGAAAAGTGCTTCTTGAGTTAAGAATTTTGAGATATTTGGACTAGAAACAAGACAAAAACGTTGCAGTGTTGAATTCTCGAGTTGTAAAAAAGATAAAAAAGATAAAAGACAAAAAGAAGGATGATTCATATGATAAATGTGTGAAGTAAAATAAAAATGAGGTTCTTACACAAATGCAGATGACATTGGCCAGAGCGACAGCATTTCCCAGCACAGAAATATAATAGTGACTGTAGACATACTGGATATGCTGCAGGCCAGAGGAACTGTACTCAGGCTTTGGTGGATGCTGCAGGGAAAAGACAGAAATGACACAACTAAGGATTGTTGACACCAACAAACAAACAAAACAAACAAGCACATAAAAAATGCAATATAATTAAATGGAATTGTTTTGGTAAATTTAATTCTTTAATTTTACAATTTAAATTTAATATGAAAATCAAGCTTAAATTGAATTTAACTTAACAAATAAATATAATATAATATAATATAATATAATATAATATAATATAATATAATATAATATAATATAATATAATATAATATAATATGTCACTGTACTTTATATCTTTGGGTTCTGTACATTTATCAGCAATAACACTTATTTTCATTCATTCATTAATTTTCTTTTCGGTTTGGTCCCTTTATTAATCTGGGGTCAGCACAGCGGAATGAACCGCCAACTTATCCAGCATATGTTTTACGCAGTGGATGCCCTTCCAGCTGCAACCCATCTCTGGGAAACATCCATACACTCATTCACACACATACACTACGGACAATTTTACCCTCCCTAATTCACGTGTACTAAATGTCTTTGGACTTGTGGGGGAAACCCACGCAAACTCAGGGAGAACATGCAAACTCCACACAGAAATGCCAACTGACCCAGCCGGGGCTCGAACCAGGGACCTTCCTGCTGTGAGGCAATAGCATTACCTACCGCGCCACCACGTCGCCTAACACTTATTTTATTTTCATAAGTTATTTGAACCATTAAAGTGGATTTAATATGCCATGTATGCAAAGTTTTATTTATAAATACTGTACTATATTTAGCATATTTATTACATTGGGTTAAGATTATTATATTTGGCATATTTATTAAATAAAGATCACTGTATTTAGCATATTTATTCAATTATTTTAGTATAATTGTATTTGACATGTTTATTCAATTAATCTAAGATAATTGTGTTTAGCATATTAAATTAATTTAAGATCATAGTATTTAGCATATTTATTCAATTAATTAAAGGCAATTATATTTGTTCAATCAATTTAAGACAATTATATTCAGCATATTAAATTAATTTAAAATAGTTGTATTCAGTATATTAAATTAATTTAAAATAATTGTATTTAGCATACTTATTAAATTGATTTAAGATTATCGTATTTGTTTAACCAACTCAAGATAATTGTGTTTCCCATATTTATTCAATTAATTTAAAATAATTGCAATTAGCATATTTACTCAATTAATTTAAGATAATGGTATTTAGCATATAAAAATAATTCAAGATAATTGTATTTAGCATATTAAGTTAATTTAAGATCAATTTAGTTAACACATTTATTTAATTAACTTAAGATAGTTGTATTTAGCATATTTATTCAATTAATTTAAGATAAATGTATTTAGCATTCACTCATTCATTTATTTTCTTGTCGGCTTAGTCCCTTTATTAATCCGGGGTCGCCACAGCGGAAAGAACCAGCAAGTTTTTACGCAGCGCATGCACTTCCAGCCGCAACCTATCTCTGGGAAACATCCACACACACACACTCATACAATACGCATAATTTAGCTTACCCAATTCACCTGTACCGCATGTCTTTGGACTGTGGGGGAAACTGGAGCACCCAGAGGAAACCCACGTGAAGGCAGGGAGAACATGCAAATTCCACACAGAAACGCCAACTGAGCAAAGGTTCGAACCAGCGACCTTCTTGATGTGAGGCGACAGCACTACCTACTGCACCACTGCCTCACCATTGTATTCAGTATATTAAATTAATTTAAGATAATTGTATTTAGCATATTGTTAATTTAAGATCAATGTAGTTAACATATTTATTCAATAATTTAAGATAATTGTATTTGGCATATTTATTCAATTAATTTAACATAATTATATATAGCATATTTATTCAATTAATTTAAGATGAATGTATTTAGCATATTAAGTTAATTTAAGATCAATGTATTTAACATATTTAATTAATTTATAATAATTATATTTAGCATATGGGTGAGGCAGTGGCGCAGTAGGTAGTGCTGTCGCCTCACAGCAAGAAGGTCGCTGGGTCGCTGGGTTTGAACCTCGGCTCAGTTGCCATTTCTGTGTGGAGTTTGCATGTTCTCCTTCGCGTGGGTTTCCTCCAGGTGCTCCGGTTTCCCCCACAGTCCAAAGACATGCGGTACAGGTGAATTGGGTAGGCTAAATTGTCCATAGTGTATGAGTGTGTGTGTGTGTGTGTGTGGATGTTTCCCAGAGATGGGTTGCAGCTGGAAAGGCATCCGCTGTGTAGAAACTTGCTGGATAAGTTGGCGGTTCATTCCATTGTGGCGACCCCGGATTAATAAAGGGACTAAGCCGACAAGAAAATGAATGATGAATGAATGAATTTAGTATATGTATTTCATTAATTTAAGATAATAGCATTTAGCACATTTATTTAATTATTTTAAGATCATAATATTTAGCATATTCATTAAATAATTTTTATGGTCAATGTATTTACTATATTTAATATTTTAATTTAAGATTATTTTATTTAGCGTATTAATTACATGAATTTAACATTTATTACAAAACATTCTTTTCCAGAATTATCTCATAATCATCCAAAGTCGTAAACCAAAATGAAGCATGCAAATAAGACAAAACCTACAAACAGTCATTTATTCTTGTCCTTTGTAGATGAATTACAAAAGTTCCTCATTTTCTAGCCATGTACAGCTTTTGGGAGTTTCAATTCAGCTAATTCCTCTTCCTGTGATTCAAATTCCAAACCTTAAAATGGGAACCAGTTCTTGCTCAACCTTGCTTGACACACACTACTACTTTTACCAAACAAACATTGATTTTTGTAAATCTTAATTCTGTTGGTTACTAAAAATAAACAGAAAAACCTCTTTAACAAAATCCTTGTCCAGCTCATTGAAGAGCCTCTGGAAGTCCTCGCCGCTGATGAAGCCATCTGGAAACCGCCGAGCGGCCTGAGAATGCAAATGACAATCAAACAAACATCTAGCCTACACATTTAAACAAACAATTCCAGGATCTGTGTTTACCTTAACGATAGCTTGTCTGCAGTAGGATTTCATGTGGACTCTCTCCATGACCTTCAGAAACATGTTCACCGCCACACGCTCCCTGAGCAGAAACAATTTATCACACTTTTAATTAAATAGGAATTATTTTAATAACTCATTTCTAATAACTAATTTATTTTTCTTTGTCATAGTGACAGTGCATAATGTTTTTTTCTGCTTATGTTGTAAGATACTAATATTCAGCTTAAAGTGCCATTAAAAGACGTTAATTAGGTACATGTTGTTGGATAACAGTGTTTCAAAATAAAGTTGAAAATGTCCTTGCTCAATGTAACGTATTATTAAAGTCATCTGAAATGGTAAAGTAAGCATTCTTGCAGGACTCCCAGAGTTCTTCAAGATTCATTGGAATCATCTTCAATGCCTCCTGCTTCATCTTACTCCAGACATGCTCAATAATGTCCATGTCTGGTGACTAGGCTGGACAATCCTGGAGCACCTTGACCTTCTTTGCTTTCGGCAACTTTGATGTGGAGGCTGAAGTATGAGAAGCAGCGCTATCCTGCTGAAGAATTTGCCCTCTCCTGTGGTTTGTATTGTAATGGGCAGCACAAATGTCTTGATACCTCAGGCTGTTGATGTTGCCATCCACTCTGAAGATCTTTCGCAAGCCCCCATACTGAATGTAACCCCAAACCATGATTTTTCCTTAACCAAACTGGACTGATTTCTGTGAGAATCTTGGGTCCATGTTGGTTCCAGTAGGTCTTCTGCAGTATTTGTGATGATTGGGATGCAGTTCAACAGATGATTCATTGGAAACATCTACCTTCTGCCACTTTTCCAAATGATCAACTAGAAGTCAAGTTATTATTTGATCCTCTTACAACTGGGATCCACGACAAGACTTTTGTCAAGTAGTGTACAGTACTGCACAAAACTCCTAAGCACTATACCAGCTTTGTTGGCCTAAGACTTTTGCACTATATAATCAATCACTCTTCTGAAATATGTACACATGACAACATTCCTCTTCGAGCAAAAATCTATGTTTAATGTGACTTCCCTCAGCAACAAGAACAATTTTGTTCTAATTGTCCTGACATTTTCTGAAATAATGTGCTGTGTAATTTCAGGCTTCCTTTAGCACTTTCCAGAGTTCTTCTTTAGGTTTAAAGTGTCTTATCTTTCTTTTTCTATCTAGGTAATCTCATATAGCCTCTATAATATTCAGGTCTGGACCCTGTGGAGGTCATTTCATGACTGTCTATATTTCATCAGCTGTTTTCTTTCTCGAAATAGGATTTCAATGGAATTGTAAGATCATTATCATGCTGAAAATTAAAACTATTACCACTCAAGTTCTTTCCAAAAGAATCTGCGCTTTTCAACATTCACAATTTCATCAATTCAGACAAGTTTGCCAAGAACAGTGGCAGAAATGCAGCTCAAACCACAACAAACAGCCTTTCTTTAACATTGCCTAACCTAACTCCTATGCAAACAAATCATACATCAACTGAAAAAAAAAATAAAATAAAAATAAATAAATAAATAAATATATAAATATATATATATATACACATGTATATATATATATATATATATATATATATATATATATATATATATATATATATATATATATATATATATATATATATATATATATATATATATATATATATATATATATATATATATATATATATATATATATATATATATATATATATATATATATATATATATATATATATATATATATATATATATATATATATATATATATATATATATATATATATATATATATATATATATATATATATATATATATATATATATATATATATATATATATATATATATATATATATATATATATATATATATATATATATATATATATATATATATATATATATATATATATATATATATATATATATATATATATATATATATATATATATATATATATACATATATATATATATATATATATATATATATATATATATATATATATATATATATATATATATATATATATATATATATATATATATATATATATATATATATATATATATATATATATATATATATATATATATATATATAAATATATATATATATATATATATATATA